GCGAGGTAAAGCAATAAATGTGTAAATCATTTTATTGTTGAGAGAGCAAACAGACAGGTTATGCAATTGTAATATTTACTCATTTGTAATTGTAGCGCTTGGTGGAAATTCCCACTCAACACTGCCGTTAAATGTTGACCCTTTTTATGTATATTAAATGCAGATATACTCTTACCTGCTATTAATCTATGAATTTGCATATCTGTAAAAACATACCAACTTTGCACAAAAAATATATTGTATTGCTAAGAAATTAGAGGAATGGATAATTATTGTTTCTTTATCCTCATTTTTTTCTTGATAAATAATTTCATGGTGTCGCTGCAGGTGGATGTGTTTGCGTACGGGATCATCTTGTGTGAGATCATCGCGAGGATACAGGCCGACCCAGATATCCTGCCACGCACTGAGGTACCGGTTCCGCTTTCCATGACGGAGCCGAGCGGCTTAACCCCACTGCGCTGCGCGTCGCATCCACATCCTGTTTGAACCAGACCCGTCTTCATGAGGAAAAACATTGAAGCCTGAACACTACATGGCTGAGATCGGCAGAAATCTTAATGCGGTGTCATAATGACTGGAGCCGCTTCAAGCGAAGTCACGGCTTTATCGTTTCGTCATCTTCTCTCTGGTTGTTATCTTGGACAAACGGGAAGCTGGCTTTCCTATCTCGACTGAGAATTCAAATACTGATATAGGCCTCAAACTGAAGCGAGTGTTTGTGCTGCGCGCAGCATCAACTCGGCTTGACCCAACAGTTTGTGTGGCCTCTGACCACATAAATATTTGGACTTGGTTTTGAATATGGTGTTTAAACAGGAAAAACAGCAAAACCACACACACACACACACACACACACACACACACACGATCTGTTGCACTCACTGGAAATTGCACAATTCAAAAACAATCAAATACTGTAAAATTTCATAAATTTCTCTGAATTATTGTTGCATACATTGATATGCACACATTGCTTTACTTTCTTGATAACATGGATGGATGCTTTGGTAGTGATGCAAGTAAGTTCAATTTTTGTGGTCGTAAGTCAAATTGACAGTTTTCCGTTATCTCTGAACAAATTTCAGAAATTGGCTTTAAATTAAGACTTTTATTATAAATTTCATCTGTGGCTTTTTCTCAGTATCTGTACAGCTGGTGTGTTTGTCAGCCTGTTATTCATACGCAGCTGCAGAAATTGCCTACATTTCTGGCTGCAAGTGTTTCAGTACTTTATTTCAACTCCTGTGGGGCTATGATAAGAATATTTCTCCACTCGGTATAGTGGCTGAAGCCATTATCTGACAGAAATTAAAATTTAGAGAAATTGGACGATAACCACAGTGGATCTTTTTAGAAAGCCATTTAGAATATTTTCTTTTGTGTGTTTTCCTTCAGGACTTTGGGCTGGACGTCGAGGCCTTTCAGCAGATGGTTGGAGACTGTCCACCTTACTTCCTGGATTTGGCCATCGCTTGCTGCAATGTATGAAACGCTCATTAGATACACACATGTGCTCCATCTCTAATATGGCTGCTTCACATTCTGCTGTCCGCATTATATCTGCATATCTCCTGCTATGACTGTAGGGGAAGCTGAAGGAAGCGTTAGAGCTGGACTTGATGTAACTTTCATATAAATGCAAGTTATGGACAAGGATGGTTTTATGGGATTGTTGTATTTGGACAAAAAACATGAAATTAATGTGATTCATTTGCTTTTATTTAATAAGGAAAATTGACACTAGGGAATAAAACTACAATGAGAAGAGTCTCAGTTTGTTGTCTTACTTAATCATCCGTGTCCGTGTGTCGTTCTCAGATGTCGGCGAGACTCCGTCCGTCTTTCTCCCAAATCGTAGCCGAACTGGAGAAGAAGAAACGATCCGAGAGAGAGCAGAGAGGCGAACTTCCAGTGAAAAGTGAGGCGACGTTTGGGCGCCGCGTGACAATAATCTGATGTTTTCCTATATTTAATCAGGCTTTTCTCTGTACAATCCCTTCTCCAGCCGTTGGGCCTTTGCGAAGGCCGTCCCTCTGTGACACGTCCGACCCGCGTCTCTCTCGCAGCAAGTCCGACATGCTGCACCCTCCGGACGAGCTCCCCTGCGTCGCCTTGGCGCCCTCCGCCCGGGTGAACCCCTTCTCGCAGCGGGAGGACCTCAAAGGAGGGAAAATCAAGCTTTTTGACACGCCCAGCAAGTCGGTCATCTCCCTGACCTTCACCCTGCCCCCTCCGCCAGACTGCGACGACATTCACACGCCCGACGGCGAGGTGGTTGACGTGCCCCGGCGGCACAGGCGGTGCCACTCGTTGCCGTGTACGCCTCCGCCGCACATGGTGTGTGCGCCCAACTCCGTCCTGGCGGAGGAGGAGTCGACGTTTGAGGTCGACAATGTGAACGGCGGAGGGAGCGAGGAGGACAGTTTGTTGGGAGGGGAGGCAGCTCTTTCTCTGACGGGTGATTCGGGTCTTCCGGTTGAACTGATGTCACTGAATCTGGCGGACCAGGAGGAGCAGGACATGGAGGAGGAGCCCATGGACTGCACCGTCTCCCCAGACACGCAGGACATTTCGTCACCCCTTTACTCCAAGCGCCCTCTTCCCTCTCACTCCTCGACTCCCATTAATCCCTCCACATCTTCCATGACAAACGGCTGGCGGTCGGCCATCTCCAACGGGCCTCCCAGTCTGCCGCCCCTCTCCAATCTGGACAACCACAATGTGATCGTGAGCCGGCCGCTCGACTGGGGCGCTCCCATGGACACTCCCACTGCCAATAACAACGGCTACCACTCCCCGCCCGTCGACCCGGCCGGCTCGTCCCCCTTTGGCTCCGGCAGCGGACACTCTTTGGACCAGGAGGAGGTCATCTCCTGTCCCGGCTGCTGCCTGGCCGGACTCCGTTTCCCCTCGGTGTGTCTGAGAGCCCCGCCTCGCCGAAACCCCTACAAGAACTTGAATGGGGACCACGCGGCGTCGCACGGGCTCCTCTGTCCGGGACCCAAGGGCCTGCCGCCCTCCCCCAACACCACCAACGCCAGCCTGGATCCAGGGCTGACCCTGCCAGGAGCTCAAACATAAATCCTGAACCGTCAACACCAAATGCAAAGCTCTTCCCTGGGAATCAAGCGGGTCTTCTTAAAATTTGCACAGATTTTAATGCAGCAATACTTATTTTCCAGACACATCTTTTGTTTTCTTTTTTTTTTGTTGTTGTTGCACAGGCGTTTGTGTGTCTGCATGAGTTCATTAAAATACTGTCCAGACTTAAAAGAAACGACTTTCTCTCCAGGAAACGCTGTGAGACTTTGCTGGTGGGCGCCCTCTGCTGGACTCAGGGCGTCCCAACACCTGATGTCAGCCTGTGATGTGACTGATCGGACTCTTTGTCAGCATGCGAGCGCTCCAGTTTGTGGCAGCGAGATCCTGTAAAATGTACAGATCTTAATGACTATTATGCCGGATGAGACTGATGATGCTGAAATGAGGAATGTTGAGCTTAGTATTAATACTGTTGCAATGATAATTATTTTTGATGTTTGGTGCTGCTTCTGAAAGAGCAGGCAGTTTTGTTTTCATGCATTTAATTATCAAGAGGTGTACAGATCATTTCTGGGGAGTGTTTGTTGGTATGCGCGTGTGTGTGTGTGTGTGTGTGTGTGAGGACGAGTGTGCTGTACACTGTTCAGACTGTTTTTGTTGTTGGCCCTTTTGGTTGCCTGCACCACTTCAGCTGTATTACTGTTAATAAGGAAACTGTTTATCATTATATTTGGGAATGAATGGTCAAAGACCTGCTTAAGAGATGTACAGATTCTTATTATTTAAAATGGCATTGAATAAAAAGATGGACTGTACTGATGTTTTAGCTGTTTTCTGTTGCCTTCTCCACTGACTTCTTTCCACAAATATTGATATTGGGAATAATCTTCTAAATACCTTAAGAAAAAAAGTTTTACAGTTTTAACTGTGTTTAAATGTAATGTGTATGGCTTGTAGCGGTGTTGAGTTTTATTTACATGCATGTAATTTATTTTTTATGTTTCTCTGCTAGTTTAGAGCTTAGTAAAAATTTTTTTTACCATTAATTTTGTTGTTTAAATGTAATACATGTTGGTAATTTTGAGTTAGATTTCTGCTAGTGACATGTTTTAAGACACCAGCTGACTGAGAAAAGTTAAAATAAAGATTAGCTTATTTTAGCTTAACGTACTATATTTGGTGAATAAATTAACTTTAATATCTTTTTATCAATATTCAGCACATTGGCATTTAGTCTGTTTTGCTAACAACTATTTGACAAATTAAAACATTTATAACTAAATCATTCACACATTAGCAAAATATTTTTAAAATAAGGAAGACATATTAGACCTTCAGTGTGTATTAAGTTTCTGGTTGGGGGGAAGGGGGAGGACAGAAACTTATTGTTTTGTATTAAAAAAAAAAGAGGAAACCTCTAAGAAGCTTTGAGTTTAACATTAAATGTAGCCCAGTTCTACTCTCTGTACGTAAAAATGAGCATTTTAGAAAAAAAATCTTATTAGAATTATTACCGGCATTAATTCTTAAAGCAATTTACAGACCAGAAAACTTGTATTTGGAAATATTCAACATACAATTCAGATCAAAGGAAAAGTTTAGTTTTTTTTTCCTAAAATATGACTGATGTGATTCACAACCAAGCAACAAACTGACAGTTTAGTAAAGTGTGAGAAAAGATGAAGTCTTAAATACCCAAATTGTTCACTTTTTTTTTCTTTTTTAATGGTACAAGCTATAAAGGGTCTTTAAGTGACATGAGAAAACCGTCATAAATACTTTATTTTATGCACAAAACACACATCAAGCTGGTGATTTGCACCAGAAATTTAGGAAATTATCTCAATACTTCATTTAAATGACAACGAGTTATTTCCTTTTCTCTTGATTCCTATGTCGGATAATTCAATCCAGAACTTGAAAATGAATTAGCTGTACTACACAGACTGTAGCTCATAGCGCTCCCATTCATGGTTTCTTTTCTCACCTTGCCCTCTAAGTGGATCACTCAGCCTGCCCTCTCTTACAAAATCAACCCGCCTTTAATTGAGTCCTTATCCCTCTCCTCCACCCCGTCCACCTTCCAGTCTCTCCCACAGCCACTTCTCCTGCCTCCTCCATGGCTCTTCTTCACCGGTCCCATTTCGAAGGGAGTCGCTGACCTCCGATTCTCCGAGCTGCGCGTCGTTTGAGCTCATCACAGCCTCGTGTTTCCTCGGCTCAGAGGTGGCACAGAGGCCATGAGGCCGCAGCGTTTCCCACGGCGTGGATTTGAATTTGTGCTGTCTGTGATGACTGTCCAACTCATCGCAGGTGAGTCCTGAAGATGTCTGGGGACGACTGAGTAAATTACGCATTTCGATGCTGATTAAACTTTAACATCTTCATTAAATGCTCCCCTCCCTCCCTTGCTGAACGATGGTTCCTTTTTTTTTTTGGGGCATTTTTCTCAAATGTTGCATCTTGTTACATTTTGTGGCACCTGCAGCATGTTGGTGCAGTTTGAAGTTGTGACAGTTGGACTTAAGGGGTCAGTGAGCACCTGTGTGACTGGGCTATTTCTGTGTCTGCGTTTCGTGCGAACCTCTCAGGGTCGACTGGGTTAGTCTGCTACACCGCTGTGGAATCGCTGGACTTAGGTTGCCTCCTGCGGTGGGATTGTCCCCATGCCAGTCCTAATATCACCTACACCGTGCAGACAAAGACTCAGGGGTAAGTCCTAATCCCTGTGTGTGTGTGTGTGGGTGGGGAGGCCAGAAAATCGACTCCTGACTCAGTTACTCTGCATAAATATGTACTCTTGGTAGCAGCTACTCCAAACATTTCAAATATTGGCAGAAAATGTCAGAATTTTTACACTTGGTTGTATAAAACTTGTATTAAACTCCAATGGTGGTGTAGGTGCGATTTTTTTTTTTTTTTTTAAAGTAAATGACACAAGAAGGGAAGTGAAGGCCTTCCAAAACTAATTAGTATTTATGTTACAGATGTTTGGTTTTTTTTTTTTTCTTTGCAAAATATGTGGTGTGCATTTATTGGATATGTATAAACCTCGGATAAAACTCGTTCTCCTCTGCAGAATAACTCAAAGTCAATCAGATTGCACAGAGAACTTCTTTAAATCTACATTTTCAAATCTCTTACGCAAGTTTTCCATTGAAGTGAACTTTGACTGGGCCATTTAAACACATTAGTATGACTTCTAAATATACCAAACCTATAACCTGGGGTCGGGTGTATGCTTTTGGAGCCTCTGTCAGCTTTTCTTCAATATTTGCTGCATCCATCTTTCCATCAACTTTGAACCAGCTTAAGAAGAGACTAAGATAAATTCTTCTACACGTTTGCTGTTATGTTTCTTTCTTTTTGGAGTTACGTGCTATTTTGTTTTGGTCAAAGATCATTTTCAGAAAAAATAAATAAATTTGTGGTCTTAACATGACGAGATGTGACCATGTTTGACGGTTGTTAATACTTTTGCAAGTTATCAAATCTGTTAAATTTAGATTTTATTCCGGCTGACATGGCAAAGCTAACTAACTATTTGTCCGTTGAGCACTACAAAGACTTTATATCTACATTTTTTTTTAAATTTTGCTTAGCTAAAATCTGATAATATGAAGAGTTATCGATAATTTCACTTTCATAAGTGTTTTTCTTTTTTCTCCATACACATAATATTTATAAAGCCCCTATTTCAGCTGCTGACTCTTGAGACCTGCGTTCTTCTATTGAAAACCCTTTGGAAAAAGTAAAGCCAGAGGAGGGAGCAGCAGAAGAGGAAAAGCTGTTATTATGCATCTGACTTGTTATGTTTGTGCGCTGCAGGGATCCGTGGCAGGACGTCCCGTGGTGCGTTTGGATCTCCTCCCGGAGCTGCGACGTCTCCCAGGTCTTTTCTAACTTTGAGCTCTACAACATGATTCGCCTTGGAGTCCACCTCAGCCCCAGCTCCATTGTTTGGATTAAGCCACACAAGTTTGACTACAGCGACTTCAGTCAGTGGTTTATCCCTGCTGTTGTAAACTCAAGCCAAAAAATACAATATGAAATGTTTCATTTTTCTAGCTGTTTTGAGGTGTGTTCCTGCTCTCTCTTTTCCGCCCGCAGCCTTCAGCCCTCCGTCCGTCTCCGTCTCTTGGAACAACGACAGCCTGTCTGTGAAGGTGCAGTTCCCCTGCGCTACCAGCAGGGGGTGCTCTCGTGACGTGTGTTGTCCCATCTCGACGCTAATAGACCCCTGGACCACCGTCACCGTGTTCAATGAGCTCAACCGCTCAGACAACCAGGTCTGACACCAGCGACAAACTGTCAAAGTGCAAATTAAAAAATATATATTTTGTTAAATGAAGATTATATTATCATTAGTATTATTATTATTAGATGTAGCTGGTTGAATAATAATAATGTAAAAAATAAATAAAAATCAATACGTTCTGTCACGGGTGGCCGTTTGAGGACATTCCTGATCTTGACATGAATGAAAATGAATTTTGACACATCTGATGTAGAAAATCCAAAACCATCTGATACCGTAAAAACAACGTATTAATCAGCTTATACTTTCAGTAATGCATTCGTTAAAAAAAAAAAAGAACAACATACATACACCCTTTACTTGATGCAAAAGGTCTCAAAACTTGCACAACTTTTGATGCAGGTCCGTTTTCTTGTTTGTGTGTAACAGAGCCGCACGGTTTGGACTCAGGAAGTGGTTTCCGTCGTCAAGTTCTCGGGTTTGTCTCCGGGTCAGAACTACTGTGCCGAGGCCAACTTCTCCTTCCCGACCTTCTCCATGGCTGCTTCCCCCAAATCCGCTCCGGGGTGTGTTGAAACTGGCTCCAGATCAGGTCAGGAGGAGTCAGGAAATCACTGAAACTGCCTGGATCTTCAGAAGGAGATGCATTTTGTTCTCTCTGACTGAGAGGCCAGAGAGGGTCTCACACAGTGAACCAGTTCGATCGAACCAGATGTTGAACCTAAAGAGCCAAACTGATCTCCTGCTGATGTTTAATGCGTCTTCAGTCCCTCAGCTTTGTTTGTTGTTTTGTTGTTTTTGCGTCTGCAGGGATGCTGCCGATGCTGTGTCTTGGAACCAGTCTGTCCTTTGTGTTCCTTCTGTTATTTCTCTTGGTGTTTCTGCGGAAACTCAGACGGGACCAACCGGCCCGCAACAATCCACCCAAGGCCCTGGTAGGATTTTCTCCAACCTCGTCCCGGCGTTCAGCTGACAAACAATTGTGTTCTTAGCTTTTCTTCTTGCTTTAGGCAACTTCTCAGGACGCGGAGTCTTTGGCTCCCCCCGTCTGTGTCCCCGTCGAACCTTGTGACCCCTGTGACCCTTGTGACATCCACCTGGAGCTAATAGACGACCACGGCTCCGTCGACTGGAACGTAGAAAACAAAAGCTCAAGCCAACTTGTGCATCGTGATCCCAGCGGGGGTGTGGTATGTTGTCACAATGGAGGACAGAGGCAGAAAAAAGGCTTGGACTCTGGCGTAAGGAATCCCACTTTGTCCCACTTCTATGTGGAGACGTCAGATGAAAACTGAAACGCCGAGACTTTTAAAAACGTTTTCCCCCCGCATCGCTTCAGTACGCTCGCTTCACACTGGATTAGGAACACCTCATGATCTCCCGGTCTCCCTACTTTGCCAGAAATGTTTTCCACAGCTGCTTTTTCTGTGGAAACTTCCTACAACAGAGCGAGTTTCATGGACCGCCAACATCAGGAGAAAACACATCCAGGATTTACCTGAGTCTAGTTTCCGTCTTCTAATCCAACAAAACTGGTGTCAAAACGTTTGAGCGGTAAAACATTTTGCTTGTGCTGCTATCATTTAGATATTAATAAATAAAAGTTTCCAGCAGTCGTCGTCACCATCTTCAAAATCAAAAGCAGCACAAATGAAAATGTTTGCTGCACAAACGTAGCCGAGTTGTCAGATGTATTAATTGTAAGCATGGAGAGGAGGTTGACCTCTAATGACCTCTGATGACTTTTTTTAATCAAAATCTTTAGAACGATAGCGGCACAAATGAACCAAAGCCAGCACAAACGCAGCACAAACGCAGCACAAACATTTGACACCCATTTTGTTAGATTCGGGTGACGTGGGTTGGCTGGTTGACCTGTTGACCTTTAAACTTTCACTAATTTCTTCAAAGCAGAAGCAGCACAAACAAAACATTTATATGAACAGGTAGATGAGTTGACTGACACTGATTTGAAAAATGTTAGGGGTTTTTGTTGACCTTTTGTGACTTCAGGGAACATTTATTAACATCTTTAAAATGATAGCAGCACAAACGACAATCTTTGCTGCGCAAACCTTTGACAGAAAGATAAAAGGATGCAGATGAAGGAGGTTTCTGCACAAAGTGCCTTCCTGAGTAAATCTCTTTTTTTTTCTTTTTTTTTTTTTGAAGAAGAAACTCTCCACTTTGGTGAACCAGCCTATGTACAATTTGGAGGTGTGTTCGCTTCTCCACATTTCATAACCCTATTCCTCCAGTAATGTGGAACGCAGAGTGCAAAATGAAGACTTTCTTGGTGACCTGTAGGTCTTCAGAATGGAAAATGACCCACACTTATACTGCCAAATCAGTTACAAAGTGGCCTGAGGACAACAAAGCCAATGTCTGGGGGTGCTATAGGCCTTCAACCATTTGGTTTACTTTAACGCCGTGGCCCGGTTCTGGTCCAGGAAACACATCTGTAAATTCACTACTTGATGTGTTTCAATGACAAGACTCTAGGTTCACTTTACTGTAGAAGCTGCATGAATATTTAAAACACAACGGTCAACAATGACTCGTTTTACATAAACCAGATAAACGTCGCACTGATTTTACTTTAGTTCAGACTTAAGATTTGTTTATTTCCAATATTTAAAGCACCTAAGCCCATGTTTTTGCTACATATTGCCTATGATTAAACACATGTATGCCATGTTGGCAGAATTTGCTGTTGAATGTTGCACTTTCTATCAAAACGGAGTTCTGAAAGAACATTGTAATGTAAAGAATTATCTAAACCAGAGAGAATAAGCAAGCGCTAATCCAGAGCTGTTTTAAAACAGTTGTAAGAAGCAATTCATTTTTAAAGAGATGCCTCTGAAACAGACTGGTGATTTATTCCCAGTCGTTCTTGAATTTTGTTTTTCTTTTTTGACCGGATGTTTCAGGTCATGATGTGTTCCAGTTTGAGACCTTTTGGTCTATTTTACGTTTTTAGTTTCTATTAAAGTTTATTAATGAGACACCTCTGGCAATTTTTTTTTTTTTCCCCCCCCAAGTTAATTTTAATCTTTATTTACACATAGCATATCAAACATGGTTACCAATCAGAGCTGCGTTGGTCTATTTATCAGTTTCTTGTGACTGGCAGTGCAGCAACAGGGAGACTTACTGCAGGGGCAAAAACAATTTCTCTGTGTGTGTACATAATCACAGCTCGGTGAAGAATCTAAATCTGGTTGTGGTTTTTCTCTGTTCTCCAAGACCCAGTTAAAGTCCAAAAGCATGACCATCTCAAAACAAGAAGCATGAACATGTTTAAACCCTCCTCCACTACATTTAGCAGCCAGAGAGATAACAAAGCAGACTTTTTCCATCATTTATTGTTTTAAAGACACGTCTGACTCACTGTTGCCCCCTGCATGAAAACAAAGAACGTCTCGTCATCTCCGTTTTCTGTTTTGCTGGTGTTGCATTCTTTCCAGAACATTTAGGCTCTTTGTGGGTTTGGCCATCCAGAATTGTTTGAACACAGAGACCTGTGGGGCCGACGTGGCAGAGCCAGTGGGATCGGGTTTTATTAATCCGCTCGACGGGAAGGTCCGGATGATTGCATGAAAAGCTGGCTTGTTTCATCAACACCTGATTACACAACAGCCGAGATGTTCACCGTCAAGAAGCAGGATGTACATGCAATTTGCAATGAAGGCTCCGACCTGAACGGAAATTGCCCCGATTCGTAGCTCTTTTTAATTAGCGTTAGCATGGCAGCATTTTGATGGTTTGAGATAAGAATAGTTTACATTTGTTTCGAAATGGGGGTCATATTATAAAACTGTGGTTGCAAACGGTCTATTTTCCTTTCTTGCTCTCCCAAAAAATTATTTTCACACATTAAACTGTACAGCTTCTCTTAGTGAACATGATCCTTTCGTCAGATGAAACGGGTAAACCTGTTAGCTAGCGCTGCTAATAGCAGTTAGCATGTCCCAGTGCTTTTCAAACTGGCAACCAGAAGTAGTTACTTAGCTTAGCAGGCATTTTCTAGCTAAAAGTTAAATAGCTTGGAACGCTAGTCAAGTACCACCGCTGAGAGTACAATATTGATCAATTTAGATCTAACACAAACTGCTGAGATGTAACTTTTTTTTTTGTTTTTTTTTTTGAGGATGGAGCTGTTTTACTTTTTTTTGTCTAAAATCCTGAAACAAATGGTTTTGCAAAAACACATTTTATCAGGAAATCACCCAAAATGAACCCATTGTTCAAACATGAAATAGTCTAAAACAGTGTTTCCCAACTCTGGTCCTCAAGGCACACTGACCTGCATGTTTTAGATGTTCCCCTGCTTCAACACACCTCATTCAGCTGATTCCAGTTCAGCAAACACCTCCTAATTGAAATCACCTGTGCTGAAGCAAGGAGACACCTAAAACATGCGGGGCAGTGTGCCTTGAGGACCAGGGTTGAGAAACACTGGTCTAAAAGATCTCAAAAAGCAACATAACAACCCCAATTTAAAAAAAAGTTCAAGAAGGGAAGAGAAACAAAATCACAGACGCCTCAGTATGGACAGCGAGAGCCATTTCACCTATGAACAGAGAAAATATTGAGTGTAACAAATTAACATTGAAGACTTAGCAAGTACACAAATGAACCTTGATGTTCATGATTCAAAAGGAAAATGTGTATCTTTTTGCACACTCCCAAAATTTGAGTTGTTTTTCCCCAACACCAGTTTCTGATTTTCCAAATAAAAATATGTGCAGCACTTTTATCCAAATATGTATCCATGGACACAAGTTTTAGAATCTAAAAATATATGGATTTCTGTAACGTGACTAAAATCTCCCAGAATCTGGAGTGACGCGCAACTAAAAATATCACCCACCTCTGTACTTCGTCACGGACGTTTTATGTTAAACAGCAGTCAGGGTAGGGAAAAAAAGAAAAAAATAGAGGAAAAGGTTCACTAGCTGATATAAAGCAGTGAGTTCTGGCCTTCTCCAACAGGAAATGCTTAGTCACTCTGTCAGTGACTCACCAAACCTCAGAGCTCAGCTTGTTCCTACCCCCAGCATCGACAGCATGACCGATCAGCAGAAACACGTTACGTACCATAAACGCTGCTCAGCAGCTCCGCTTGGGCCCCAACCGCAAATATACACCAGCTCCGAGTGAAAACACTCGGCACGCTCGGTCGTAGCAACAGTCTCTTTATTTGGCCTCACGTTTCATTCATTCCGTAATTATTGTACAACATATATACAGGAGCAAACAGAAGATTTACATGTCCTTGGTTTGTCGTCTTTCAGCAAAGGTTGGCAGTGCATTCTTGGCCTTTTTTGTCCCCAGCAGTGTCTCCGGGTTTCCTCTTGTCCTCCTTCGTGAACACGCAGGCCATAGCCAGAGCTTCATGATCGCATATTTGTGGTGCCAAGCTTTCGTCCAGGTCAGCCTCACGTCGCCCTTCGTCTGCATTGTTCATCTGCGCCAATACTGGAAAAGACAGAAACGAAGGTCGAGTTGGGCTGCGTTCTCGTCTTATTTAGAAGAAAGCTGACATTTTTTTGGATGGTTATCTGCAAAACAAAACACTCAGCTGCACAAAGCGGTGATCATCTGCTGCGGAGCGGACTTACCTGTGCAAATTTGTGTATCTGCTCGACCACAGCAGCAAACAAAGCTCCCACGCTCTCGTCGATCAGGCTCTGCATGTAGTGAACCGCCTCCTCGTCCGACAGGTCCAGTCTGAACTTATCCTGCACCTGGCGGCACGTCAGAGTTACAGTTATCACGGCGTGGCGACAAGCCGACCACAGGCCGGTAAAACAAGATGCCAAAGCATCATGGCTGTGCATCCAAAAATAAATAGTGAAATAAAGAAACAAACAAACAAAAAAAATGTTCCCACTTCTTTTCATCCTCCATACTTTTTTAATAAAAGTTTACAGAAGGATCAACATGAATAAGCATTTTTGTCACCTTTTTAACAGTCTTGTCAGGCTCCAGAGCGATGTCAGGAATATTGGCATCCACCATGAGGGAAAAAAGATTCAGGATCAGGTTGGAGTACCTGACAAAACAAGCGAAAAAATGTTATAAACTGATCCAATCTCTGCAGTGAACACTTTTAACACACAGTAGCATATAACAATCCCTCAAACACAACAATAAACCCGACTGTTCAAGTAAAAGACTGACAAATGTCTACACTCAAGAGTTTGGGATAAATATTAGTACCTCCTGAGGTGGAGGAAGGCGGTGTAGCACTGCTTCCTGAACTCCTGGTACTGCTCGCTCTGCGTCCCCCCCATGCCCTCCACCATCTCTTTGCTCAGCTTCATGGGCGGCGGCAGCGGCTTGGGGTCTCGACCCAGGATGTAGCCAAAGTCTATGTGGAAGAGCTTCCCTGGAAGAGCAAGAGCGAGAGCGAGGATGAAAAAATCTTGAACCTGGGTTTGTGGAGGCGGCCTGGCTTCACATACCCGTTTCCCCCCCCCTCACCAGTTTTCGTCAGCAGCAGGTTGTCCAGGTGTCTGTCTCCAACTCCCAGGATGTAAGTGATGACGCAGTAACCAGCTGGAGGAGCAGAGGGACATTTGTTCGATATGCTGCCGAGTTCAGCTGGTTATGTGTTTCATTTGAAGTTAATCATGCCGAGAGTCTCACCGCAGCTCTTGACGTAGGTGTCCATCACCTCGGAGCTGATGCCGTAGGGGCCCTTTTCGCTCGGCGCGTGCTTCCTGAAGAAGCTCTGCGTCAACGAGAACGGATCGGATCATTGTTCTCACTCACACCTCTGCACACACCGCTGCGCTCAAACCGGCTCACCTGGATGTTGCCCTCGGTGGCCAAAACCTCGGCGACAGGAACGGACTGGACGAACTGCATGTAACCTGGAACAATAACGCGCGACTTTGGTCATGTAGAAAATAAAAACTCCAATTTTCCCCCCCATATCAGATCTGATTTTAGTATTTTAAAAAAATATTCACTTTCTTTTCAAAAAATTGACAGAAAATCTTGTCAAAAACCATCTTTTATTTTAATCGTCCCCCAGAATTTTTATGCAATTACAAGAACACAGTCGTAATATTAACAGAATAAAGACGCAATCTTACCAGAACATCTTTAAAATTATGAGAAGTCATTTTATTGAGGGAAAAAAAAAAAGCTTCAATAGGTTCTTTTATGAAATACACATTAATTTGTTCAGTCGTTTTAAAGTCCTGATACTGATGATAATTTGATGCTGATGTGTTGAAAGATGAAGCATTTCCTTATCGTAAAACTTATACCAACTTCAACACAATATGCTCAACATTCCTCATTTTAATTTGATGTTATTTTTCGCGCTGGAGTTTTCATAAACTTATGGCTTTATTCTGGTAAAGAAAAAAAATCGTAGCCTTGCCCTAATACTCCATGACAGAGCTGACCTGATTTCAAAGTCCAAATAGACAACAGAATGCTGACATCACTCTGAACTATGAAAGCCAGAGAATAATAATAATAATAATAAAAAAAAGGGTTGGTGGGGGAAAAAAAAGATCTAATTTTCAAAAAAAATTTAATCTTCAAAAAAACAAAAACAAAAATGTGAGTAATCTGCATTTCTGTAATCTGCAAAATTGATTTATCTCCCAGTCCTAGATTAAATCCAGTATCAGAATAGTCCACTATAGGCTCTATAATTCAATATTCTGCTGCCAGGTGTATAAACTCTTCTGCAACACAAACAACCTGGTTTTGTCTGAACTCCAGAGGAAATAAGAGGAAATGAGTGCTTACCGTGTTTGGTGCTGGTGGCCAGAACCTTATATGGAGTCAGTTTCAGGTCCAAGTTCTCTTTCCTTAACAGCTGAACACAAAAACACAAGCAAATCATCAAGAAGTGCCAGTTAAATTTCATTACCAGCTTGGCAAGAAGTGCTATGTGTGTACATGTGAGGATGACGTCTCAGAATCCTGTCCTTACAGGTTTCAGTTCTTATTCCAAGCTACTTTGTTATTTATTTTACAGATACATTCAAATAAAACGGAGAGCAAACCACCGTAGAGAGTATTTCAAGGAGCTCTTACTTTGTCCATGAGCGAGATGATCTGCAGGATGAGCTGGTCCTGCCTCAGGTCATCTCCGTGTTTGAAGATGACGGGGTACATGGCCCCGTCCTCGGTTTTGAAGATCAGCTTGGCCGGCATCAGAGCGCTCTGAGGCAGAACACAGAGAGTGAGACAGAGTGAGACAGAACTTAGACAGAGTGAGACGGAACTTAGACAGAGTGAGACGGAACTCAGAGAGTCAGACGAACGCAGACAGAGTGAGAAGGAACGCAGACAGAGTGAGAAGGAACGCAGACAGAGTGAGAAGGAACGCAGAGAGTCAGACGAACGCAGACAGAGTGAGAAGGAACGCAGACAGAGTGAGAAGGAATGCAGAGAGTCAGACGAA